TGTGCTGAAAAACTAAACTCAAGCTCTCCTCAAGTTAACTCTAACTCAAAGAGCCACATGGGTGGCTGCACTGCTGACACCCAGGACCAGCAAGGGCACCAGGGCCACTCCTGTGTCCAGAGCTTGCTGCAGAGGCAAGCTCAGGTCTGAGTTTGTATTGCTCTGTAGACACAGAAGGCCCAGATGAACTTAAATTTCCCACAGCTGCAGTCTAAGACGTGAGGAGACTCAGGCTCAGTTTACTCTAGAACTCGCCTTCCTTTACCACCTATGCCAATTGCAATTGTCTCAGCATGCAGCCGACGTCATGGTGTAGAGGAGCTCTCTCCGTTCATCCTAAGGCATGAGCTCCCGTGTGAACCTCATGGCCTCAGCCCATGGCTCTGAGGGTCCAGTACAGGCCCACAGGGACCAGGAGTGCCCAGGACACTTGCACTCCTGCCGCCCGTCAGCGACTCTGAGGAGCAAGCAGGTGTGGAAGGCAGGGCTCAGGGCCAAGCCAGCAGCCCTCAGGTCTGAGGGTCACCAAAGGCCCTGCTTAGCAGCGCACATGGCCTAGCAGCATGCTCACACTCCTGGGGGGCAGAAGGGCCAGGCAAACCTGGCTTCCTGTCCTCCTGCTTGTCCTCTTCTTCGTACAAGGCCACGAGGCCAGGCTGAAGGAAGAGCCCGGAAGCCACCAGAGCACATTGTCCAGGCTCCGCGGGGTGGACACCAGAGTCTATGTCTGATGTAGGCTCCCTGTCCCAGGCCTGCCCGGGCCTTCTGGATAGCCCCAGCAGGCAGGCGCCTCAAGCCCTCAGGCATGTTGGTCTTGAGGGCTCAGGGAGGCCTCTACCACAGCTGCAAGGGCAAGCGGAGGCCACGCCCCATCGCCCATCCTCTCACCTGCCCAAAGGTGTTTTGGAGACAGGACTTCAGCTGCTTGGAAGTGACGCTAGTGCTTACCAAGCTTCAGCTCCTTTTTTGTTAGAAATTAAAAGAGACTCACAAGCAGCTACGGAACGTGGTCATGGACAACTGAAGATAGAAAGCCCCCACAGTTAGAGCACCCCAGGGTCTCACTGGCCAGACAAGCCCTGTGGCCCCTACATGACAGCTGGGTTATAGGCTGCTTTGCTTGCTTATTTGTTTCGGTTTATTTTCATTGTCCCCTGCGTGCCGCAGGAGCTCTCACTGAGCCACACTCAGCTCGCCCGCTCTGCCCCGTGTGGATAGAAGCTGTTTTCTCCTTGCAAGTCTGTCCTGAGCACAAATGTCCACCAAGGGTCAGTTCAGGCCGTGCACTCAAAGTCATTTGGCCAGAGTCTGGATGAAGGTAGCACTCTCCTCTGCATCTCGGGACACAGGTCAGGAGCATGAGACGCATGGTAGTGACAATGGTGGCCAGCATGGCTATCAGCAGCCCACTCATCCCCTCACCTCTGCTGGACGTCCACCTCAGAGGGAGTCCTTGGAGGACTTCCACCAGGAAAGCATGGAGCAGCAGAGGCCAGCACGGGGCCCAGACCCCAGCACCCGCACCAGGCACAGAGGAGGTGATCTGACCTGGCTGCTTAAGGTTCTTTCCCAGAGTCCAGTGCTAAAGGGAGAAGCTTCCACATGCCTCCCTTTGCTCCAATCTGAGGTTCCCTCTGTCCTTCCCCTAAACCCTACAGCTGGAATGACAAAGCAGCTGCTCCCCACCTCTTCTGGGTGTGCCGGTCTTTCCAACAGGGACAGAGATGCAGGAGGACATGGGCAAGGACAGACAGGCTTCAGGAGTGACCATGGGTGGAGGACCGCCCAGCCACAGTGTCCAAGGGGCCAAGGTATTCCATTTGGGAGCAAGAACTGGGCCAGGGTGTTGGGTCAGCTACTGTACCACACACACGGATCACACCTGCACCCTGACCCCACACCCGAAGGAACACAGTCAGCCACCCTCACCCCGCTGAAAGGCCACCTCTGTCCTCCTACAGCATCTGGCAGCCTGGGCCTGTCCCCCTGGCTGCCAAGAGGTCACCTCGAGGCCCTCCAGCTGGGTGGGGCTATGCATGGCCGCAAGCTGCCACCCCAGAGAAGGGTCAATGGCCAGGCTCCTGGGACCAGCTCTATAGCAGAGGAGAGGAAAGGAGAGGAGAGGAGAGGAGAGGAGAGGAGAGGCACCACTAACTCAGCTGCCCCTGTGCCAAGCAGCAAGGTGGTGAGCCACCTGCTTGGCCACCTGGGGGTTTGTGTGTCCCCAGCAAGTGGCTGACTTTGTAATGGTCTGTGATCTTCACTCTGTACCCCGGAGAGAGACTACACTACTTCCCAGTGAGGGCTCTGCTCCTTCCCACCAGCCAAGCAGGGGATGCTCCTCAAAATGTGCTCCGCAGAGACCCAAGTCTCCATGGGGCACACAGGCCTGGGCGCGGCTTGCTGCTGGGCTGGCGCCACCCCCTCTGCTTCAGTTTCATGTTTATATGGGTACATCTATTGCCCCGGAGAGTCGCAGACAAACTAAACAGCGAGGCTCACCTCTAGCCCTTTCAGCCTTCCCTGCCCAGAGGTTGGTACAAGTTCCCCGGAGCCCCCCTTGGGAGGAGGGCAAAGATAAGAGAGGACAGAGTCCAACCAGGCAAAAAATCACAAAAAAATGGTACTTGCGACTTATATGACCATTTCCAAATGCATATACTAAGGAGGTGCTCTAAGGGTAGAGTCCTTGTTCTCCAGGGGACGCATGCCAAGCAATGCAGGAGTGGGGAATTCACAGGTGCCAGAGCCCTCCTCCTTCTGCTCAGCTGAGCAGAGATGGGCGGTTGGGGCACCCTAGCAGAGATCTGAGGGCCATGCTGGAGAGAGAGGCCATGGCAGAAGACAGACAGGAAGCAGGTTTCCACGGCAGGATAACACCAGTTTCAAAATTTCCTACTTTAACCAGCAATTTCTTTCATGCCAAGGTTTGAGGAAAGGTCTGGCCAGTCAGCACCAACCAGGTAGCACTCTGGCCAGACCCTAGCTCTGAGTCCTGGAGTTTCTGGTCAGATCCTGAAGGCTCTGCTTCTGCAGCAGGCCGGAACCCAGGCGAATGCTTCCCCAGGGCCTTTCAGTCTTTTGCAATCGTGCTTTCAAAACAGGCTGCAAGGGTTCTGATTCTGCTCAAATCTGATGTTAAAACAATATTTAGTTTCTCTTGCGAGAGGAAATCAGTTGTTTGCCTACATCTGAGGCTGCGGACCAGAAACAAAGGAGGAAAGACCCACTTGGAACACAGGGAGAGCTGGCGGCCGAGCAGGCGCCTGCAGAGGCAGGAGGCTGGGAAAGGAGACGGGCGGGCCCAGGTCACTCTGAAGAAATGCTGCAGAGGTCAGGCGGTGTGTTGTGGGTCCCTGCCGAGCCACCACCTGGACGAAATCTGTTTTTTATGTTCTTTGTGGCCTAAGTTTATCCTCACTGACGTAACAAGGCACCCTGCTTAACACAGGATCAACAGGAGCCCCCAAAAGCCAGAAGGCGGGCACCCTCTCCACATTCTATCCACACTACACCACCACACCCAGTGTCTCCTTACCCCAGCCGGGCGCCTGAGCCCTGAGCTCAGCCTGGTTTGCCGCCAGGTTCCCCTCCAGCTCTGAGCATGCAGGGATGGCGCTCCCTCTCTGTGTCCCCTGGGGAAACAGAGGAGCCCTGCACCCTTATATTTGAGAAGTCCTACGAGCAGAGTATAGACCAGGGCCTCTGAGGCTGGATTTCACTGCTGGTAAAGGGCATTTCTTGCCCCACACAAATCCCTCCCTTCTGCAAATCCCAGCATCATGAGTGCCCCAGGGCTGGAGCTGTCCCATCCTGGGGACTCCATCTTGCGTTGGAAGGACACTTTCTACCTCCTGCATAGCCTCAGTATTGTCTAAGGGACACTTGGGCTCCAAGCTGACATCTTCTTTACTCACTATGGAGGTGGAATTCATCAGAGCACCAGCAAAAGTATGCACCTACCAAGTGCTATTTGCACCTCCTGTAACTTATGGGATGGCTTGCTAACACCCTGTTTCATAGGCTTCGAGGGGTCACACAACCACCACGTATGAGGCTGGGGTCAAGCACAGGTGTCTGTGAAGTGAGCCCTGTGCAGTGCTTGCCAGGGAATCCCCAGGCTTCTGCTCCCAGGAGCACATGAGTTACATGTGGCTGCCACCTTCCCAAACAGCTGGGGTCCCAGCATTCCCCTGCCAAAATTTGAGGCCCCACTGGAGGCATCATCCCTCCCCTCTAGCTCCCAGCATCACTGGTCTGCCCCTGATCAGCCCTGTTCCTGAGTGCATCCTTCCCATTGGCCCAACTGCTCCTCCGCCGGCCACCATGCACAGCAGTGTCCCTGCCCCACACACACCCCGCAAGCCCAGCCACCTCAGGTGCTGCCACAGTCTGCAACATCTGCCTTCTCCCACCCCACAGCATCTGCTCAGGTGGATACTCAGGACTTTGCCTCCTCCAGGTGCACAAACACATCTGAATATTTCACCCAGCCTTTTTTGTCCCGTCTGCTTTATGGAAACATTCCTAGCCCTGCTTGTGAAGATCAGCCTGCTCCACTCTGGGTAAAGAGTCAAGAAACCCGAGTTCTGAAGAAAAGCAGGAGGATGGCGAGATACTGCAGGAGGCCTGGGGGTCTAGAGATAGCTGCTCGACAGTGAGCCCCAGGCCTTCAGGACCTTTGAGCTTGGTCCCCTCCAGAGAAAGCCAGGGAAGGATCGGGCCTCTCGTGCATCCCAACAAATGGCCCAGGATGTATTTGGGAACCTGTAGATACAAGTCAGCATGAATAAAGTTGTCATGGTTATGGAAAGAAAAATATTTGCGCACACAGAGATAACAGGAACTCCCTCTCCGCTGAAAACTGTCTTCACTGAAAAGATATGCAGTTCGGAGATGGTGCCTGGAGCACTGGCCCAGAGGCAGCGTGCAGAGCAGCCTGGGGCGTGGTGGCTCCTGAGCCCCACCAGAGGACGCAGAATGAGGAGGCAGAGGCAAGGTGAATGAACACATGAGCACGCTGTAATTTGTTTATTTTGTACAAGTGACATCATAAGCAAGGGTTTTGCCTGTGTTCTAGTTTAACTCCAATAAATAATATGTACAAATGTGCTGAGTTTACAACACAGTAGAGGAAAACCTTTGCCTTACAAAGATACACTTACATGATACAGTTTTTCCATTCACTGGAGCATGACTCATGCCTAGGCCTTACTGCAACCAAGGCCCTTCTCGACCCTGTGGCGGAGTCCAGTGGTGTGTACCTAATCTTTTCTGCCAGAGAACAAAGCTATACAATGAAAATTCCTCAGTTTCTTGAGAATTGAGGGCCTGGCTAGGCCCGCTACTTATTACTGACCCATATTTAATGTTTTCCAGAAAGCTGGAAACGGTCGAGAACAACTGTCCTCAAGTGACTACACAGAGGAGCCCCTGCAGTTTCTGGTGAGCTGGATGGGGTGGGGTTCAGGATCCTCCCCACCTCTCCCACTCCCATGGGGGCTCCGATCCTGGCCAGGGACCACACACCGGTGGCCAGGGCTGGAAGGTTCCTCCAAAGCAGGAGACATTCAAGGACACAGTAAGGAAGCCCCTGACTGCCTGTCCTTGAGGGCCAATTCCCCAGCTCCAAGTCCCCTGGGAAGGGGGAGGGTTTTTATTTTGGAGCACAAGTGAGTAAGTAAGAGCAGCTGAGATTCCAACTGGCCTGAAGCAGGCAGCTTGAAACCTTCTTGGCCCCTCTCTCGGGGTCGCTTCTCTCTCAACCTAAAGCAAGCATCAGAACATTTCAACACTGCCGAAACCTAACTGTAATAAAGGAAACTGCCTAAGACACTTAACAACAATTACTGTTTTCTCATTCAAATCAAAACAAGAATAAAACTCAGACTCGTTATTTAAAAAAACAAAGATAAGACAATTCCTTGGGCTTAATTTCTGTGGCAGTCCAGCAATATTAATTTAATGATCGCCTATTAAACTCTGTTAAAACGACTTTGCTCTGGAAGCATGAAATTTCAGGATAAATAAATTAGCAGAGCTAGGGAAAAAGGAAATGTGCAAGTGTTTTTGTTTTTAGTGTTTTTGTTTCTGTCTCAAGTAGCAGTTCTGCTTGGATAGACAGTTAAGAGCCAAGAAGTAGGTCGAGTATAGGCAAAGAGAGCGTCAGATGCACAGAAGTGGGGGAACATGGGAAGTGAGCATCGGAGACAGACAGGTAAAGGGGAGAAAAGGAAAGAGGCAAAAAGCTAAATACTTAAAAAAATAAATATCTCGGTTGTCACCAGCCCTGTGGTAGGAGTCTGCCCTCAAAGCTAAGGGCCAGCAGTGCTCACCCTTGCCGCACCCACGCAGGGCCGGGCCCCTTGGCAGTCTGTCCTCACAGTAAATCTGTACTCTACCCTGATGAGGCAGCTTCACCCCTCCAGGGCTCCCAGGCAGAGGGCCGGGAGGGTCTTCTCGAGGTGCCGCCAGGGTGCTTCTGAGCAGCCAGGGAGCGAGCAGAAGGGGCAAAGAGGAGGGAGGGCACCCTGCATGCTGCAGGACCTCAAAACTTCTGCAGGGCCACAGCTTTGGCGGGGGACGCGCACTTGTACTCCATCTCCCCACGGGCCGAGCCCCGCTTCTTGCGCAGGTGGCAAAGGAGCGCTAAAAGCGCCACCACGAGGGACAGTGTGGAGATGGAGGTGCCTATGAGCACAACAGAACGCACCGGTCCTGCAGGCGGGGTTCTCAGAGTGGGGCCTGGCGTGGAGCCGGTGGAATACTCCCCAGAGCCTTCTTCCTCCAGGATGCCCTCCACTTTTGTCTTCTGGCTGGGTTTGATGTCACAGTCAAGGCTCTCCTGGCCCTCGAGGGGGGACCCAGGCCCACAGATGCACTTGTAGGTGCCCAGTAAGTTGTGGCACTGGTGCTCACCGCAGTAGCCTTGCTCGCACTCGTCAATGTCCACGCACATGCTACCTTCGTCCAGGATGAAGCCTTCAGGGCAGTAGCAAACGGTGGGGGTGTGGGGGTCGCAGTCAGCGGGGCACTCGGTCTCGTTGCAGAACAGCTGGCAGTGGTTCGGGTTTTCTGGGATGGGCCTGAAGCCTTCGGCACAGATGCATTCATACTTGTCCCTGCCCACGGGCTGGCACTGGTACTCACAGTCTGACCCGAAGCAGGGGTCCAGCAATTCCACGCACTCGCCGTCTACCATCTCATAGCCCTCATAGCAGAGGCACTCGAAGCCACCGTTGGTGTTGACACAGAGCTGCTGGCACAGACCGGGCACCTGTGCGCAGTCGTCCACGTCCTCACACGAGTGCTGGTCGGCCCCCAGCTTGAAGCCTGCGATGCACATACAGGAGTAGGAGCCTGGCGCTGCGGGATCACTCACGCAGAACTGCTCGCAGAGGCTGTGATTGCAGGAGGGCTCAGCTGGGGCGGTGCAGGAGCGCCCATCTGCTTGCAGCGTGGCCTCCGGCGGGCAGACACACCTCGGCACCCCCGTGCTCTGGTTGCACGCGTGCTCGCACCCACCCTTCTCCACTGCGCAGTCCCAGGCGCCAGGCGCCTCACGCCCCCAGCGCCCTTCTGCTGCAGCAGGCGGCGCAGCGCACTCCAGCTGCAGCCCGAGTGCAGGCACCGCCGCCGAGCTGCCCACCGGCAGCGCCTGGAAGTCTGCGCCTTGCGCCCCGAACGGGGTATTGTAGGTGACAGAGACGCGGCTCTCACCGGCCTCCACCGCCAGGGGCCCGCAGGAGGCCTCGAAGTGCAGCTCGCACAGGAAGCCGGCCGCCTCCTCCTCACAGGGCTGCGCCTCCCAGGCCGGGTCGCCAGGCCCGGTGGCTGCCACCGACACTGCGACGCACAGTGGGCCGCAGGGGGGCGCACCGTCGCCGTCACCGTTGGGCCGCGCCCACCTGCTGTAGCTTGTGTGGTTGTCGCCCGTCACCCACTGGAAGCCGCGCAAGGGCCCAAACGGCCCGTGCTCCCCGCAGCCCTGAGGGCGCTGTAGGCCGATCCAGAGGCGCGGGCTCCAGCCACCGTCGCTGCTCAGGAGCAGAGAGATAACCTCTGCAGCCACCGTGGAGCGCACGGTCATCAGGTGCCCGCGCAGTCGCTCGCAAACCAGGCTGGCGTTGGCGAAGGTCGCGGGGCCGTGGAAGAGCGCGAAGCACTCGCGCTCCACACACTGGCCGCCGCTGGGCCGCGGATGCGCGGGCGCCGGGAGCCCCAGGCTGGCCAGGGCCAGCATGCCGAGGAGCAGCACCCCGAGCATGCCGCGCGGGGCCAGGGCGCGCGGGCGGAGGCGGAGCGGAGGGCGCGGCGCAGGTCCTGGAGGAGACACAGCTCTGCTCTGCCCTCGGCTGGGCTGGCTTATAAACGCGTGGCCCCCTCCCTCCTGGACGTTCGGGAAAAGGAAGGAAGTGCAGTGGGAAGGGCCGGGCAGCGTCCTCGGATCGCTGGGTTCCCGGGACGCCCGCGCCACCCTCGCGCCCGGAGCCCCTCGTAGGTGAGCCCAGTAGGTAGGAACCGTGCCACACCGCCGTCCGCCGCGCTCAGCTCCTCCGGAACTTCTTAACGCTCCACCCACTCCATAAATGGTCCCCTGATTTCAAGAACCCGAAAAGGGGGCGGGGCAGGGAGGCTCCTGACCTTGACCTGCAGGATGCGGGAGCAGGGTGGAGATCAAGAGGACCCTGGGGGTGGGGTGCTGTGCAGGATACAGATTCCCACGAAGACAGGGCCGCTAGGAAACGGCTGCAGTCCAGGTCAGGGTGCTAGGCGAGGGGTTGTGGATGGGGCTGGAGACCTCAGGGTGCCTGACACCAGCGCCCTCTCCCAGCTCCTGGGTGGGCGCTGCCACGCCCCGCACGCTCGAGTGGGAGAGTTGCCCAGCGTGTCACCCCACAGAGGTCCGGCCCGTCGCCGTCCAGTTGCACAGAGCGACCTTGCACCGATGCCCTCAGGCAGGGAGCCCCGCGGGGGACCCATCGGTATCCTGGGGGCGCTCCATCTGTGAAAAGGCGGTGAGCAAGGAGTACTTGTCTGGCCAAAAGCCTGGAAGGGGCCGCCAAAGGTGGGCGAGCGGGCCGGGACCCTGGCGGCGTTGGGAGAGCTGTCACTTTCGACCTTATCTGCTTATTCACTCGCCAAGAATGCGGAGGGCGGAGAGTGGCGAATTTTAAAAACATCCAGCACACTCTCGGCTGCGACCACTCCCGACCCGGCACCAGCAGGCGACGCTGTGGAACGCCAGACCAGGCTCGGGGAGCCGAGGGCATGCATAGCGTGGAGGAGCGCAGGAGGCACGCGGACCTCGGCTCCAAGATGCGGAGGGCGCGGGCCGCCCACTGCCGCCTGCCGCTGCGAAGTGGTGGAGCTCCAGCGGCGCAGCCCCGCAGCCCAGCGTTAGAGGAGCGGGGAGCTCGGGTGGTGCTGCCAAGGCCCCCAAAGTGGAGACCCTCCCTGGATGGATGACGCGAGGCGGGGCAGGCCCAGTAACCCTGCAGAACCCAGGGCTGTGTGCATGCGGCAGTCAGTCGGTACCAAAGACACGTGATGTGAGACAGGTGTCTCTGCTGAGCCCCCCAGCCCAAGGACTGAGCAAGCGTCCAGATCCAAGTCCCGCCTCTTGCGGCGGGAGGGCAGGAGCTTGGAGGCTGTCCGGCCTGCCCACTGACACTGGGCTTGGCTCCTTTTGGGTCTCCCGCCAGAACAGAGGCCTGAGGCGGTAAGCCTGTGTGAAAGGCCCCAGAGACAGAGTGCAGGGAAGGCAGTGGTGCCTAGAAGGTGGGACCTGCCCCACCAGAGCAGATGCTGCAGGTGACTGAAGATAGGAGGGTGGCAACCTCCGCCTCAGTTTCCTGTCCTGCCAATGCTGTGTGGCATGTTTGGAACTACCCACCCCAGCTGAGTGTCCCCAACCTCTGCCCCTGCAGCCAAGCCCTGTCTGCATGTGGTCAGCTCCACCTCCCCCTGCTCAGCCACTCCTCACAGCCCCTCCCCTGGGCTCGCTAGCTGGCCCTCTTCCTCAAGTATCCTGACACTGACCCCAGGGGCTTGTGTCTGCCTTCACCTCCAGATGTCCCTGCCCTTTGCAGTCTAGACCCCACAGTCCTCAAGGCCTCTCCTTCCGTGCCGCTGAATGCACGGGTCCTTGCCTGTCCTCCTGTGAGTGCCCCCACCTGGTCCTCTTGCCAATGAGGGAGGCCACTCCTGAGTCTCTACCCCAAATCCTCATGGCTTCTGTGTGCCCCACTTGTTGGTGACTTAAAGATGTCCTAGGGGGGTCCCCCAGCCCAGCATCACTCCATGTCAACTCTGGAAAACACACATTTGTCTTTGCACCTTTCTCCTCGACCCTCGGATTTCATCAAAGTCTTGCCACTCCCCCCCTCCATCCCCGTGTGCAGACCGTGGGCCCTGCCACTGCCCCTTGCTCTTCTCCACTCTCACCCTGCCAAGGCCACATGGGTCCTCTGATATCCTGCTGCTCAACATCCACAGGAGAAGCCCCAGCTTCATCCCCTCCCCTTTCCTAAGTGCTCATCCTGTGCCTCCCTCCTGGGGCCACACACAGGAATTCACACCCACAGGCTGCCTGCACCCCACTCTTGCAGCCTCAGGGACTGCATCCTCCTGGCCCTGGGGATGCAGAGAGGTCCTGGCAAAGGAGGCCCTGCTCATCCTATCTCTTGTCCCTTCCCCTGCCAGGAAACCCTGGTCTCTACCAGCCCAAGTCTTCTCTTCTAGCAGGTCCCTGTTGACAAGCTGGCCTTCAGCTGAGTGTTTCTGAGTCACCAAGCCAGAGCTGATAGCTGTGGACTTTCACAGATAACACTTCCCATCCCCTCTTCAGCACTTGCCATCTCTGCCTGCCTCAGAGGTCGTCCTGTGCACACTGCTCTCTCGGCTACACTTAGGATCTAGCTTCCTGGGAGTGAGGCAGAGATCCCATGCACTAGTGTCCTTGTCTACTTGATAGCATCCCAGGGGCAGAGGCGGTGCCAGGAGCTCATGGAGCATGGTGCGGATGTTTCCTTGTGGCCCTGCCAGAGCATTTTCTTTGCCAACCAGTGAAGCCCAGGTTTTAAGACTTCAGGGCCCCAGACATAATTAAGAATATAGGCTTTGCAGCCAGCTGGCTGAAGCTGTCTCAGCTGCACCATTTACAAGTTGTTATTGTTGCTTTTAAGTAACCTGGACTCTCTTTGCCTCGGTTTTCTTACCTGTGTCATAGGAATTGTAACAAAGCACTCAGTACTATAGACTGAGTTATGCATGTAAAACCTTTAGGACAGTTGAGCCATCTTAAACTCTCAACAAATTTTAACTTAAAAGAAAACACAGGAGCTGGGGATTTAGCTTAGCAGCACAGCACCTGCCTAGCAAGCACAAGGTCATGAGTTCGATTCTTAGTACCAGAAGAAAAGACAAAAACAAACAAGCAAACAAAAGAAAACACACACTTCCCTAGATTTTGGACTCAGCCACTAATGGGTTGCACACCCAGCATGGTTCCTGACTCACTGTTGGGTTAAATTTGATCCAACCAAGCATTTTTACTAGCTATTACAAGCAACTGTGGAAAACCTCCAGGACCAAGGAGGCACAGGGGACAATTGAAGAACTCAGGACAATGTGTCCTTGCCGGGTCCCCACCTGCCCCAGGTTTCGAGTATTGATTTCCTCACTTCCTGGATGAGGAGGTTGAGAGTCAGGGACAGTGAGTGACTTCCCCAGGTCACACGTTAGTGAGTGGTGGAACTAACATTCACCAGCCTGCTTGGTCAACAGAGCTATGGCAGGGAGCACATCTGGACCCCAGTGTTGCTACATACTAGTTAATCTGGCTAAGTTTCTTGAGTCTCTGGCTTTCCCCTTTCCCCTGCCTCCCCTGTGGAGTTAGGATGCCTAATACACAGAGTTGCGTGAAACTTAAACAGGAGGTACACATACAGTAACTGTCACCTTTCTTAAAACACAGAAGTGAGTCACAAATATAGGTGTCCCTCCTGGTGAGAAGCCTCAGTCCCTCAGATTCATCCAGCAAGGCAAGATTTTCAGCAGAGTTCCTGTTACAGTCTGGGGAGGAGCTTGGACCCATGACCTGGCAGTGCACAGCCTTCAACCACTGGTATTGAAAGTACGCAGGCGCTGTCAGGAGAAACCTGAGGAAGAGTACACAGGCAGAAGAGGACTCCATATCTCCCCTGCTTACAAACATAATACTGACATACAGACCTGAGGATTCAGTCCGTGCAGCTACGTAGCAATACATAAATCCATTGTTATAAAAATAAATGCCAATTGAGAAAATATTATTCAACAAGCAACTGCATCTCTGTATAGCAAAGTAAATATTTTACTAAACTCTGGCACTCACTCAGGCTTTCTTCAAGAAACAAGGTGAACATGAACAATCCTTTAATGGTCCCTCCTCTGTAACAAGAAATAATGTTGCGGGTATCAACACTAAGGACACATTTAACAAGTACACCCTGGAAGTTTCCCCTCTAAGGCCATGAACACATAAAGGACAGCTGCTGTCACCACTTCTGCTCAGTATTATACCAGAGAAACTGTAAGAAACTGACAAATGAGCTTAGCAGTTGCAGAATGCAAGATTGATATACAAAGAAATCAATTGTATTTCAATGCAATAACAGTGCACAAATTGAACACTTAAAAAAATCCATTATAATAATATCAAAAGGAAGAAAATACTAAGAATAAACTTAACAGAAATGTAAAACATTGCCCTGCCTGGTGCACATGTCTGTAATCCCAGCACTAGGGAGGCTGAGGCAGGAGAATCGTTGTGAGTTCGAGACCAGCCTGGGCTACAAAGTGAGCTCAAGGCCAGCCTGAACTGCATAGTGAGACCTTGTCTCAAAAAGAAAAAAAAAAAAAAAGAAAAAGAAAAAAGAAATGTAAAACATATACTTTGAAAACCCTAAAATACTGTTGAATGAAATTTAAGAAGATATAAATAAATACTATGATCGGGGATCAGGAGACTTAGAAGAGTGAAGGTGACAAGGCTTCCAAAACTAACCCATGGGGTCAGTGTGGTCATTAACAAATCTCTGCTGACTTTTCAGAAATTTACCAATTGATCCTGCAGTTCACAGGGAAGTCCAAGAGACTATGAAAAACCAAGAGTATCTTGGTAAAGAAGACCAAAGCAGGAGGATCTATACTTCTGATTTCAAAATATGTTACAAAGCTATAGCAAAAAAAAATGGTATGGTGTGGGGGTAAAGAAAGACACAGATCAATGGAACAGAACTGAGAATATGGAAATAACCCCCACTTTATGGTTAATTGATTTCCACAAGGGTGTCATACAATGAAAGGGGAAAGACCAGGCTCTTCAACAAGTGACACTGGGACCCCTACCTCACACCATATACAAAACTTAATGTAAAATACATTTTAAAACTAAATAGAAAAGGTAAAACTAGGAACTCCTTAGGAGAAAATATCAGTATAAATCTTTGTGTGCAGAGACTAAGCAACAACTATTTAGATATGACACCAAGGACACAAGTAAAAATTGGACATTACTGAAGTTAAAAACTTTT